CTTTTCACTCTTCTTCCTGAGAAATTTCAAGATGCCACTGTTAGTCGTTGTGACATAACTCAGGATTTAATTTTTGGCCTATTTCCTTTTTAGTCTGCCTGTCCCATTCCATGATCCCCATTCAGGCCTTTTTCCTAGTGATAAACCGTTCAGGGATGGCTGTAGCCATTTTGCACTGCCATTTGGTTTTAAGTGAAAACTGTCACTTTAAATTTCAAGGAGATCTGTGCGCATGCGTAGTAGAACCCTCTGGGGTTTGGGGTGGGATGTCCACTCTCTCAGGCACCCCCTCTAGACACCAGAATGGAGGTGTGCAAACAGCGAGAGACTAATGAACAGGTAAAAAAAAAAAAAAATGTCCACACCTTTATCTCCGCAGTTCTGTTAGGGATCCTAACAGATGCTCTGATCCTTCCCCCGTTTGGTCTCTCCCAAAATGGCAGCTCTGGGAGCAGCTGAGCATCTTCAGTTAGATAGCAATTTCTGCTACAAATGCCCCTCGCTGTAAGCCTTCCAACCTTGTAAATATTCCTTTATATGTGGTTCAGAGTTCTGGCACCATCCCTTAAGCCTGCTTGGTCCAGTATTCTGTGTTGTTGCTGACAGAGCTCCTCACTGCACTTCTGCCTGAGCCACCATCTTGTTTGTTCTTCTCTTGTCAGTTCTTTTTGATAGTGTATTCATACCATGTATTAGACTCCCTCCATTTGTCCCTACTTCTTCATTGATGATCTTTATAGTTCTAGGTTTCACGTTTAAGTCTTTAATCCACAATTAGTTCGGTTTTGTATCTAGTATGAGATATAGGTCTTGTTTCATTCTTTTACAAATGGATTTCCAATTTTGCCAGCACTGTTTGTTGAAAAGACCATTTAATGTCTTTGGCTCTTCATTAAAGATCAACAGAGTGTAGGTGTGAATGGATTTACTGCCGGATCCTCAATTCTGTTCCACTTATCTGTGTGTCTCTCCATGTACCAGTACCAGACTGTTTTGACATTTGTGGCTGTATAGTAGGTTTTGAGATTGAGAAGTGAGAGGCCTCCTACTTTATTCCTCTGTTTTAGTAATGCTTTGCTTATTTGAGGTCTCTTTCCTCTCTGTGTAAAGTTTGATGTTAGAATCTGGATTGAGATTGCATTATATCTATAGATTGTTTTAGGAAGTGTTAACATTTTCACAATGTTAATCTCCCTATACGTGAGCATGCATGGTATAGTCTTTCCGTTTTTTAAAAATCTCTTGTTTTCTGGTCGTAGTATTTTATAGTTTTCTTTGGATATATCTTTTGTTTCTCTGGTTAGATTTATTCTGAAGTATTAGATCTTTTGTGTGGCTACTATAAATGGTTTCGTTTTCCTGATTTCGTTCCCAGAGCTGTCTTTATGAGTGTAAATGAATGCAACTGATTTTTGGATGTTGATCTTGTACACTGCCACTTTGCTGAATCTTCCAATGAGTTCCAGTAGTTTTTTTTAGTGAGTCTTTGGGGTTTTCTATGTATATTGGATCATATTATCTACAAATAGAGTTTTACTTCTTTGCCAATTTGGATGCCGTTAAGTCCCTTTCTTGCTGTATAGCTCTGGCTAAGACTTTCAAGCCCAAACATTGAATAGAAATGGTAATAATACAGGGCATCCATGTTTGGTTCCTGTTCACAAGGGAATTCTTACAGTTTTTTACAGTTAAGACTAGTGTGGGCTAATGGTTTTGTATATATGCCCTTAATTATGTTGAAGAATTTCTCCTGTTTATTTTGTTGAGTGTTTTTTATCAGGAATGAGTATTGGATTTTGTAATATGCATTTTCTGCAATTGATTTGGTTACATGTTTTTGTGGGGTTTTTTTCCTTTTTGTTTTGTGGTAGATTACTTTGTTTTTGTAATATTGAGCCATCCTTGCATACCTTCATCATAATGTATTACTTTTTTATATATGATGTTGGATTATATTGTCTAGGATTTTGTTGAGAATTTTTGCATCTGTGTTCATGAGTGATATTGATCTATAATCTTCTTTTTTAGTGTTGTCTGGGCCTGGTTTTTATATCAGGGTTATTATGCTTGCTTCATAAAAGGAATTTGAGAGTTTTACTTCCTTTTCTGTGTTCTGAAATAGTTTGAGTAGAATTGGTGATGTCAGCTCCTCTCTGTTTGATTAGAATTCACTAGTTAAGCTATCTGGGCCTGGACTTTTTTTAATTGGGAGTTTTTTAATGACATGATCAATTTCTTTTTTTTTGTTATAGGTCTGTTCAAGTTTTCTACTTCAGTCTGTGTTAGTTTAGGTAAGTCATGTGTTTTTAGAAATTTGTCCATTTCTTCTAGATTTTCAAATTTGTTGGAGTACAATTCTTCATAGTATTGCATTATTATCCTTTTAATTTCAGTTGGTTTTCTTGTGATGTCACCCATAATATTTCCTATTTGTATTTGCATTTTGACTTCTTTTCTTTGGTTAGATTTGTCAGTGGTTTGTCGATTTTATTGATCCTTTCGAAGAACCAACTTCTTGTTGATTCTATTATTTGTCCATTTTCTATTTCATTTATTTCTCCGCTAACCTTTATTATTTCTTTCTACTGGCAGCTGTAGGCTTACTTTGCCACTCATTTTCTAATGTTAGAGATGATTAAGGTGTTGATTTGGGTTCTTTTTGGATGTGTATGTTTATTATTAAGTGCCCTATGAACAGTGCTTTTACTGTATCCCAAATGTTTTGATACCTTGTGTTTTCTTTCTGATTCGATTTAAGGAGGAGTTTCTTGTTTTTTTAATCTCATTTTTTTATTGCTTCTATTACCCAGTAACTTTCAAGTATAGTGTTTTTCAGTTTCTATGGTCTTCCTATTGTTGTACAGCATTGTGATCCTAAAAGATGCTTTGTAGTATTTTGATGTTGTAAATTTATTGAGGTTTGCTTTATGGTCTAATATACAGTGTAGTCTAGAGACTGTTCTATGTGTACTGGAAAAGAATGTGTATTGTGCTGTGTTTGGATTGAGTGTTGCGTATGTGTCTATGAAGTCAAGTCGATTGTGTTGTTTAGTTCTTCTGTGACTTTTTTGAGTTTCTTTCTAGTTTTCTGTCCATCATCGCAGTGGTGTATTAAAATCTCCTACTGTTATTGTCGCTATGGGTTGGAATTGACTCGACAGCACTTAACTGTTATTGTAGAGCTGTGATATGGTTTATGGATATGTCCTTCTGTTCATTTGACCCTTTAGTCAAGAGATCATGTCTCTTATGCTAGTTTTTGTCTTAAAGTTTATTTAACAGAGATTAATATTGCCATGCCTTGTTTTTTGATTGCTGTTAGCCTGATACATTGTTTCCATCCTTTGATTTTTTTTAACTCTATTTTTATCTTTGTAAGATGTGTCTCTTGTAGCAGTATATTGAAGGGTCCTGTTTTCTTAGCTTGCTGTTTGTCTCTTGACTAATGTGTTTAATCCATTGAGGTTTAGTATAATTATCAATAGGTATGAATTCATTGCTGTCATTTTGCTGTGGTTTTTTTTGTGTGTGTGTGGTGTTGCTGGTTTCTTTATTCCACATTAATTTTCTATGCTAAGTGCATTTTGTGGGTTTTCTTCATTGCCGTTTTAATGTTTACTAAATCTTTCTTGATTTTCTTATTTTTAAATTTTTGATGTTCAGGTGTATTGTTTTTCTTTGAAGTTATCCTGTAATTTATTAATATTTTTCCTGCTCTAAACAGTCTGTTTTATCTTGAAATCTACATGACTACCTTGCCATTTGGAAGTTCTATGTCTCCATTATGTGATGACTGAGTTCCCAGTCCTCTTTGAGTTCTTTTATATGTTGTCTGAGTTCAGGGCACCCCATCCAGTAGTTTGTTGAGGCCTTTCAGGTTGCTAGTTTCAGTGTCTGTAGAAACTGCAAGGTGACTAATGATGAAAGTTCCTACCGATCTAATTCTAGCCTGGAGACTGTCTGCGTTCTGTAGCTCTAGAACAGAGCCCATCCGAATCCATGTGCCAAGGCAGCGCGGTGGGCACACTCTGCTCAGAGAGAAGGGTCTGAGCCTGCGGGGTAGATGAGAGCAGGAGCTGGCCTCACTTTTGTTATCCTAGAGCAGTGTACAGAACAGGAAGGACTCCACCTTTTCAGTCTCCTGTGTGAATCTGCGCTGTCAGGCTGCCAGCTGTCTGTCTTTCCAAGGCTGCTCCCAAAAGTACAAGATGAACACGCTGCTTCTGGCCAACAGTCCATTCACCTTTTGCTGCCCCTGCTCAGCTTCTTCTCTCAGTAGGCATTCAATCCATTTCTCTGACCTATCCGCTGAAGCTCAGGGTTCCAAGATTGTCCTTTCTCTCTGTTTTATTTGGTCTCCTGTGTCTAGTTTTAAAAGCTCTGTGTCTTCCTAGTCCGCCATATTGCCGGAATTCCCCTATGATATTGTTATATCCCAGAACATAGTATGACAGACAGTTAGTTCACTTGAAGTATTTCTTTGTGTGCTTTAGAAATATTTTTAAGTGTTCTTTATATTGTTATTGCTGTTAAGTGCCGTGGAGTTGGTTCCAGCTCATAACAACCATGTATAGGGTTTCCAAGGAGTGGCTGGTGACTTTGAACCACAGACCTTGTGGTTCAAACCTAAAGTGCTTTATCCCACAGCGCCAAACTAGGTCTAAGCTTATTATTAAGCTTATTCCCATTTTGGTTGCTATTATACATTCAAGTCTTTTTTTCTATCTTCTAATTGATTTTGTTTACTGTTTTTAGACATATTGTTATTTTGTGCTCTACTACTTTACTAAGTCCTGGTGTAGTGCTGTGGATTAACACACTGGACTGAAAGGTCCACGCTCACCAGTAGCTTCTCGGGAACCCTATGCAGGGTGGCTATGAGTTGGAACTGACTCAACAGCACTTAACAACAGCTACTACTTACTGAATTCATATTTTTATTGTCTCATACACTTTGCCCATTTTTCTAATGGGGCTTGTATCATATTTGCTGTTTATCATGTTATAAATACCTTTCCAGTTTGTCATTTTATTATTATTATTACATATACAAGACTTTTGAAGGTACAACTTATTTTTCATTGCTGCAGGATCAAAATAATATTTTTCTTTGTATTATTTATGAACCTGTGTTTGCCTCATGCTGAAGTGGAAACTTTTCGTTAGAGCCATTTAAGTCTATTCGTTTATTCAGTCAATATGTTTAGTAAATGCTGACTGAGTACCCACTCTGTGCTGGGAATAGAGTAGGGGATACTGACGGAACTTTCATTTGTGCCTCCCTCGGTAGGAATTCCATTATGTAGAAGAAGAGCTGTATCAGACAAAGAACACAGTGCAAAGCAGGATTAAAGATAGAGAAGAAGAGATTCAAAGACTCAGGAATCAGGTAGGAATCAGCATTCACAACTGGGGAAAGGCAGTTTTTGCAGGACACAGGGAGGCCTTGCCCCAGCCTCCCTGAGCCCTGAGCCTTGTTGTTCTAGTAGCTGGATCCCGTCTTTACAAGCTGCTTAGCTTCCAGCTCGTGCCAGGTGAGTTTGCATCTGCTTTGCTCGTTGCTCCACCTCCACAGGAGCTCTGACAAGGAGGTGCGAGCACCACGGCATCCTCTTCACGGTGCCAGTAGTCCTCAGTGCCTCGTTCAGGAATGTGGAGTCTTTTTCCTCAGAAGAATTCAGTGACAGAACTTCTGTCTCATGATTGATCGTGCATTCATAAGGCGACCAAGCCTTTTATGGAAACATATAAAGATGTAAAACATAGAGAAAATAGTGACACTCGTGGGTGTATCACCCAGATTTATTTTAAAACAAAATGAAAAACATTGCTGTTGAGCCAGTACTTTAACCTAAAGCTCCTCGGAAACCTGTTCCAAACTTAACAAGAAGTGTATGTGAGAGGGCTTCAGAAAGTTCGTGGGAAAATTCCATTGTCTTTTAATTCCGTTTTCCCACACACTTTTTAAAGCCTTCCTGTAGAATATAATTTATTTTTGTATATTGATCTCGTTTCTTGCAACCTTGGCCAAACTCACTTATTCTAGCAATTTAATATAGATACCTGTTTCATAAGTTGTTTCATATAGATGACTATGTATGAAAATAGGGAGCCCTGGTAGCGTAGTGGTTACGAATCGGGCTGCGAACCTTAAGGTCAGCAGTTTGAAACTACCAGCCGCTCCGCGGGAGAAAGATTTATAGCCTTGGAACCGACTTAACAACATCTATGAAAATAAAACATCTATAAAATAATGAAAAAACACTTCTGTAAACAGTCACAGAATTATTGTAGAATTTTATGAAATCAGTGAATGCTACAATCTGCCACCATAGGCTTTCTATGTTGCTTGATTTTCCGTTTAAGTATTAATTTTATGAACGTCTGTGTTGTAGCTTACCAATAAAACTCTGAGTAACAGCAGCCAGTCCGAGTTAGAAAATCGGCTCCACCAGCTAACAGAGACCCTCATCCAGAAGCAGACCATGCTGGAGAATCTCAGCACAGAAAAGAACTCTCTGGTCTTTCAGCTGGAGCGCCTAGAGCAGCTGATGACTGCTACCTCAGGAAGTAGCAGCAACGGCTCGTCCATTAACATGCCTGGAATTGACAATGGCGAAGGTAACCCAAAACAGACTCCCAGAAGAACCTTTGGTTCATTCCCTTGCCTTTGTGTCTAGTTAATTCGAACATGATATTGAAAAATTACAGAACGTCCTTTATATTTAAACTTTTTATTAGTGAACTTGAATATTCCCTGATGTTAATATTATTAATAATTACATTAAAAAATATATAGGATAATTAGCAGAAGGATGCTGAACAGACACAGAATTCAGGAGAGTGAGAGGAGCTTTCAGGAAGTGTGAAGCCAGATTTGCTTTCGTAACCTTCCATAACAAATTAGAGCTGTGATGTCCTCCTTCCCCTTCTGGAGACTAGGAATCTGGACTTGGTATCTACTGTGCTGCTTCCCTCTGAGGGAGAATCTGCCCAGGACTCTCTCCCAGCTTCTAGTGGCTATCTTGTGGCTTCTAGATGTGGATTCCTTCCATCTTCTTTTGATGCTTTCAGCATCAGTCAATATTTTGCCCGTAGAATCCATCCGTTTGTTTTATCATGTCTACACTGGAGAGCTCTTCTGACAGACATTTTGGTCTTTTCCTTTGTTCTTTTTTCTGAATTACCTTTTGCATTCTTTCTGTTTGTTGCTCTTGATGTCGTTCTTCTGGTCTTCAGACTTTAGTGTCTAATGCATCAAATCTGTTCTGGAGATGATCTCTAAATTCAGGTGGGATATATTCAAGGTCATTTTTGGCTCTCGTGAACTTGTCTTAATTCTTTTCAGTTTTAGCCTAAACTTGCATATGAGTAGTTGATGGTCTGAGGTCCGTGTGTATAGTCGTCTTTAATGTGTTTAAAAAAGGTATTTGCAATGAAGAAAGTCTTTGGTATTGCAAAATTCTGTCATGCGATCTCTAGCATAATTTCTATCACCAAGGCCATGTTTTCCGACTGCTGATCCTTCCTCTTGTTTTCAACCTTTGCATTCCAATTGCCAGTAATTATCAATACATTGATTGCAATGTTTGATCAATTTCAGGCTGAAGAATTTGGTAGAATTCTTCAGTTTCATTATCACTGGCTTTAGTGTTTGATGCATAAATTTGAATAATAGTGGTATTAGCTGGTCTTCCTTGTAGGCGTATGGATATTACCCTATCTAGTGTTATACTTCAAGATTATCGATCTTGAAATGTTCATTTTGCTGATGCATGAGACCCCATTCCTGTTCAGTTTTCATTCTCCACATTGTAAACTATGGATTGTCTGATTCAAAATGGCATTCCATTTTATTTTTGACAGCTTCTAATTTTCCTAGAGTCATACTTTACACATTCCATGTTCTGATTATTAATAGATGTTTCCATCTGTTTCTCCTCATTTTGAGCTGTGTCCCATCAGCAAATGAAGTTCTCAAAAGTTTTACTCCATTTGAGTCATCACGATCAACTGTACTTTGAGGAGACAGCTTATCCCTCGTCGTATTTTGAGTGCCTTCCAACCTGAGGGGTTCATCTTCCAGCACTATTTCTGACAATATTCACTATTCTGATGCTGTCAGTATTCCACTACTATTCATAAGGTTTTCAGTGACTAAATATTTGGAAGTAGTATGTCTCTTCTTCCTAGTCTGTCTTCGTCTGGAAGCTTAGCTGAAAGCTGTCCACCATGGGTGACCTTACTTTTATTTGAAATATTGGTGGCATAACTTCCAGAATTACAGTAACACACAAGCCACCAACTGTGGCTATCAAATAATTAACCACTCTTGAATTGTTTTTGCTGTTAAGTCGAGTGGTTTCCAACTCATAACAACCCTGTAAAGGGTTTCCTAGGAACAGCTGGTAAGTTTGAACTGCCAACCTTGTGATTCAGTGCATTATCCAGCAGTACTACACCAGATCTCCACTCTGTATATTGTTCGGTGCCATCAAATCAGTTCCAACCCATAGCGACCCTCAGTTCCAACCCATAGCGACCCTGTGTAGGGTTTCCAGGGAGTAGCTGGTAAATTTGAACCACTGACATTGGGGTTCAAACCGAACTTTCGGTCCGGTGCATTATTAGCCCACAGCACCAGGACTCCATCCTCACTCTGTATATTTGTTGTTAAGTGCTGTTGAGTTGATTCCAGCCCATAGCAACCCTGAATAGGGTTTCTAAAGAGCAGCTGGTGTGCTTGAACCACTAACTTTGCAGTCTGATGCATTAGCCCATGGTGCCACTCCAGGACTCTATGTTAATTCCTAATTATTAAGAGTTTTCCATCCCTGACAGGTTCTGGTATTACAGGTTTTACTGTATTATGTAAACAGTGCTCAGAAAAATGTCCTCTGTGCACAATGTGGTTTCTAGGTTAAATGATAGAGATGGCATTGCTTGGTTAGTTGTTGTTTTTAGGTTCCATTGAATTGGTTCAAACTCATAGCCAAATCCTGCCTGGTCCTGCACCATCCTCACAGTTGTTGCTGTGTTTGAGCCCAGTGTTGCAATAGGTGTGTATTTTCAAAGACTTCGGATTGTCGTTGTCAAAATCAGCAAATAACTATTGAGCACTTACTCTGCCAGGTACTGTCCTGGGCATTGGATGTCTGATGGTGGATAAAAGAGGTCCAGGTCTCTGCCTGTGGATCTTATAGTCGGGTGCTAGGAGACAGGTAACAAATAATGTCTGAGGCTGGTAAGTGCTGCCGAGAAAAACTAAGGTGTGCAGGGAGATAGCAAGCACCAGATGTAGGTTTGGGATTGCACAATTTAAATAGTCTGGTCATGGAAGGCCTCACTGAGGGGGTGTCACTTGCAAACCCTGAAGGAGATTAGGTAGTGAGCTATGTGCAGGTCTAGAAGAAAAGTGTTTGAGTCCGAGAGAAGAGCAGGTGCAAAGACACCCCCCCCCCCGAGGCAGGAGTGTTCCCAGTATGCTGCTGGAACACCAGAGAGACCAATAGGAAATGAGGGGGAGGGAGGGTCTCAGAGGTGTGGCTGATCTGACTTGCGTTGTATCATCATGCCTTCAGTTGATGTGTGATTTGCATCCTTTAGAGCGCAAAGAATGGAGGCAGGGAGACCTGCAAGGGGACGGCAGTTCAGACAGAACGGGACTGTGGGCGTGGACTCAGGCAAGCTGTTAGAGGATGTTGGTCCAGGCACATGGGAACAGGGAGTTGTCTGTTCTGAGACGGGAGGACTGTGGAGGAAGCAGATTAGTGCTGAGGACAGAAACCGCACTCGTAGCTTTGGGCATACTGACTTTGAGACGCCTGTTAGACTCCAAACAGAGAGGTAGTTAGTATACAACTGGATGAGCCTGAGCTTGTGGGGAGTCTGGGCTGGGATCAAGATGCAGCGTCCTCAGCTTTGTGGTTTTGACAGGATGTGCGGCTTCACTCTTGATAGGCCAGGAAGAAAGTGCTTGCTAACACTGGGTACTTTTAAATCTGCTCATTGAATGAGGAAAATCTTTTCCTTAAAATTTACCGTTTGATTTTGGTTTTTGTAGATGTAGACGTTTAAATCTCTATACAGTAAAATCTGTGAAAGCCAGAAACTTGTCAGAGAAGGAAAACTCATGTCTTTTCTACTAACAGAGCAGTGGGGAAGTGCCAAGACTCAGAGAAACAAAGCGTTTCTTGTGAGTTTCACGTCCACTGGGCTCTCTAGGGTCAAATTTTTACCTTTTCTTTGTGGCTTCTATGGTGAGTGTGAAGTCCTGGGGTGGCGCTGCAGGTTAAGCATTGGGCAAGGTTGGAGCTTCTCGGCAGCACTAACAGCTTTTGAGGGTAATGCTTACAGAGTTGGTGCTGAGAATGCTTTCCGTATATGATACCACGTCAGTTCAGCTGTACTTTGGTTAGGAAGTTGGTTTTGGTGTCAGTGCACTCATTTGCGGCTGTTGCATTGTTTAAAACAGGCACACGTCTACGAAATGTTCCCGTTCTTTTCAATGACATGGAAACTAATTTGGCAGGGATGTATGGGAAAGTCCGAAAAGCTGCTAGTTGCATTGACCAATTCAGGTAAGAGATGCCAGCACTGTCTTCATAATGTTCCCAGGCACAGCCAGTATCTCAAAGCAGCATTTAACTTCTCCTTTCAAGGTACTTGAATGACGTGAAACTGTCTATAACAAAGACTCATTCAATTTCATTGAGAAGTTTTTTTGTCATCTAATGATACTGCACAAATAAGGCCCTTGGGTGGTGCTGATAGGTGGTCAGCCACTAGCTATATGGTTGGTCGTTTGAACCCCCCGCCCAGAGGAACCTGAGAAGACAAGGTTTGGTCATCTGTTTCCCAAGAGATCACAACCTTGAAAACCCTGTATCAGGGTGCTGCTCTGCACGCATGGGGTCACTATGAGTCAGAATTAACTCAGTAACAACTGTATAAGGCATAGATGGAATTTCTATGTCTGTGTATATGAACAAGCTTCAAAAAGGTCGTGGGAAAATTCCATTCTCTTTCATTTCCATTTTTCCATAAACTTTTTGAAGCCCCTTCTTGTATATACATAGAAATTTTTTATGCTAACAGACATATACACCTTAAAAAGTACCTGTCTGTACAAAAGCTTTCATGCTGACTCTATGCACGTCACTTCCAGCCATACTCTGTTCCTCTTCAGGTGATTCACAGCCTACCGTATCCTTTGTAACTTAATTCATTCCTAAAAAAAAAAGAAAAAAAAAACAAAACTGATTTTGAGAAGGATCAAACTTGCCTCCTGCAGTCGTAGCATTGAATTCAGACTTAAGCTTGAGTATAAGTTTTAACAACCAAGCTCCAAATCATAAGAGAAGTATTTGCTGACTTCTGTGACCTGTCTGTATGGTTGTTTCAGGCAATCATGTGGGAATCAACTATAGAAATCATACTTCTGTGGCAGCCATCCCAATAGCTTAGGATGAGTGACTTTGAAGCAGCAGCATTAGATACGACAACAGGAGATTTATTTGGAGTGTAACTAACTCTCTCCCCCTACCCTTCACCCTCTGGATTTTCACAGCATCCGCCTGGGAATTTTTCTCCGACGATACCCCATAGCTCGGCTTTTTGTAATTATATATATGGTAAGTAAACTTGTTTGAAAGCCAATGCTGCACTTAATTTTTTAACCAGAGTTTTGTTTTGAAGCTTCTGATCTTAACCATAGTTTAGTAATCAATTTGGAAAGAATAAAACACATTTTGGTATTTAAATGCCTTCAAAGTCTGGTCCTACTCATAGTAACCCTGTATAGCATTTCCAAAGTCACCACCTGCTCCTCAGAAACCCTATACAGGGTGGCTGTACAGGGTCGCTCTGAGTCAGAACCAATTTGATGGTACTTAACAACAACAAATCTTTGTCGGGGCAGGAAGCCTCATCCTTTCTCCCATGGAACCACGGGTGGGTTGAACCACTGACCTTGTGGTTAGCAGTTCAGTGCTTATCCTACACTATTTAATGGTTATTTCCATTTTTAAGCCTTTCTAATGATAAAAACGGAGTCCTGGTGTGGCGCTGTGGGCTAATGTGTCAGACTGCAAGGTCAACGGTTCAAGCTCACTAGCTGCTCCTTGGAAACCCTATACAGGATCACTATGGGTTGGAATAGACTCAACAGCACTTAAAAACAGAGCCTTGGGTATAAGCACTGGACTGCTAACCACAAGGTTCATGGTTCAAAGCCCACAGCTGCTCCTTGGAAACCCTGCACAGGATCACTATGAGTTGGAACCTGACTCTGGTGGGGCATGCCCATCATTTCAGCCCCACCACACAGGGAGCTTGCGCACTACTGGGTTCAAACTGCCAGTCTTCCAGTTAGCCCTCTGCACCACAAGGGCTCCAAGGCAGATGAGTCCCAGGCTCTAAATCAGCCTCAGAAAGCTGACACATTATGCCCTTCAAGAGTGTTCCCCCCAGCTCCTCTCCACAAACCGTGACAGACTCACCCCTCAGATCTGCCTCTGTTCCTGAAATCCTTTCCAGTAACTCCCTGTACCTCTGCAACGTGCATCTGCTATGCGTTACAGTCACGGATGGTTGACTCCGTGTGTACGTTGGGAGTGTGGCTAAGTTCAGCCCGTGACTCCGTTCACCTGAGACTTCTCCACTGCACTGAGTTATTCTCCCCCTCCTTCCTTCTGCCTCCTTAGGCATGATCTGAGCCCCTTGCAGTGTCTCATGGGAGACCAAGCATGGCGTGGCCCTCTCATCGGTGCAGCACCTAGTGAGTCTGGCTGATCCCTACACTGGCTTTCTCTCTCTAGGCTTTGCTGCACCTCTGGGTCATGATTGTTCTGCTGACATACACACCGGAGATGCACCATGATCAGCCATACAGCAAATGAATGGAACCCAGTTGTTTGAATGTTCCAGTGTCTTTTTCTCGAGATCAGCCTGAAGTTCCTGAGAAGGATGGCCAAAATTATTGTCACTACCAGCTTCTAACTGTTTAAGTTATTACTCCGCTGCCTAAATCTCTCTCTCACGTCCTTCAGATGGTAAGAGTTTCGAGATCCAATAATAATTTAAAAGCTCAGCTTGGCTTTTCTGAGTTCAGCGAACCTAAGGCTCGACCTGTGCACACAGAGATGCCGGCATTGTTCGCCTCTGTGCAGTCCCCCCTGTATTTTAGGTCACTGATTATGGGCTACAATCAGGGAAATGAATTGTATTTAGTGATATAAATTAAATTAAAAGTTTTCCTTTTGGTAATTCAGTCTGCTTTTGTATTTTTTGTATTTTAAACCGCAAATATACGTTTCCTTTTTACTTGTTATAGGCCTGATTGGTAACAAAAACTTCTGATAAATGCATGCGTTTTTCCTTTTGAAAATGTTTTTCATCCCCATGATATAAGACCTTCCCAGACAGGCTTTTGTGAGTAGAGGCAGAAATCAGCAACTGGAAACCAGTTGCCATTTTGTCAGTTTCACCTCTCAGTGGCCCTGTAGTACAGAGGAGAACTGTCCTATACAGTTTCCAAAGCTGCTGTAAAGACGCAGACAGCCACATTTCTCCCGAGGGGTGTCTAGTGAGTTTGCTTGTTAGCAGCCCAGAGCTCCCTCCAGCAGCTGAAGCCCCTGGCAAATGAATCACAGTGACTTGCTACTGCCTCCCAGTGTGTGTGCTTCCTTTTTCCCTGTCCATCCCCACTCTGCTCTAGTCCCCCTTTACCATACTGTGCTCTTCTACCTCAACACCTTGTTGTTGTTAGGTGCCTTCGAGTCAGTTCTGACTCATAGCGACTTTATGCACGACGGCACAAAACCCTGCCTGGTCCTGGGCCATCCTCACAGTTGTTGTTACACTTGGAGCCCTCTGCTGCTGCCTCTGTGTCAGTCTATCACATTGGGGGGTCTTCCTGTTTGTCACTCACCCTCCACTTTATCTAGACAAGATGTCCTTCTCCAGCGACTG